TGGTGGCTGGGAGCGGCCACTGCACTCCTGTCTGGGCAACAGAGTGAGATTCCAACTCAAAAAAAATAAAAATAATCCAAACTACAGAAGAAGGAACAATGCACACAGACTGTCATTAAACCATATCTGAAGGTAAGCTAAAACACTGGAATAGAACACAAGAGGAATTTTGAAGCAAAAATTGTATATATAATCAGTGAAAATACAGCTAAGCATTTCTTAATGATGGAGATACCTTCTGAGAGACGTGCTGATAGGTGATTTTGTCACTGTGCAAATTTCTGTTCACCTTGATGGTGCATATCATTCTATTTATGTGTATTTTTCCATATGGAAAACCAAATGTCCCAGCACCATTACTAAATATTAATCATTTCCCCTACTTGGTCTGCAATGCCAACATATACTCTCCATTATAATCTTCCACCAAAATATTCATCAGGCCGAACTCTGCCTAGTTTCTGAGTTCAGGCAAGATTGGGTGTGTTCAGGGTGGTGTGGCAATACCCAGCTCCACCATAATCACATGGGACTATGTCTTATATGCAGTCCATGGTTAACTGAAAAGTTACATGGTGTATGACGATACTATGTATCCTGTGTAATATATATACTTAACATTCCATTTTTAGTTAAAAAATAAGAGTATACATACAATATTATTACAAGTATACAAAACAAAAACAAACACCACTATAATAGAAAACATGAAGGAGGTATAATAGAAGTTACGCTCAAATAATAAATGACATATTTCTCCTTGTCCTAATTTTCTTTCTTTCTTTTTTTAAGTTGGAGTCTCACTCGGTCGCCCAGACTGGAGTGCAGTGGCCGCTCCCGGCCACTGCAGCCTCACCTGCTGGGCTCCGGCAATCCTTCCGCCTCAGCTTTCTGAGTAGCTGGAATTACAGGCATGCGCTACCACGCCCAGCTTATTTTTTGAATTATTGTAGAGATGAGGTCTCGCTGCCCAGGCGGGTCTCGAACCCGTGGGATCAGGCAATCCACTCACCTCAGCCTCCCAAAGGCGCGGGATTACAGGCTGAGCCACCAAGCCCGGCGTGTCCTAATTTTCTACCTGTAATTAATAATAAGTATGCAATTTTTAAAAAATGAAAGCAAGATGTATATTTTTAAAAGGCATGGAAAGGTGGTTATTGATGTAAAAGTCAATTATTTAAATGTGATTCACAATACAAAGACTATAATACAAGTCCTAGATACTCTCTAGCACATGTGTGGACAACTTATTCAACTATACCAGCTATTATCTCCATATGTTTGGCATATAGTGCTTCATATTTATTTTATTTTTTATTTTTGCGGGGGGCTTGTCTGGGATATGAGCCAGCATATGGTGCTTTAAGCCAGATCTTATATCATTTAACTGTAGCTAAGGAACACAGCAAATTTTGGCTGAGAACTTTTTACTCACTGTCAGGAAAGATTACCAGAAAATATGAAGAAACAGTTAATAATGATTAATAGCACTGAGTTTAGAACCAGCATTTATTTTTATTATTATCTCTTTTTATTTTATAGGGTCTCACTATGTTGCACAGGCTGGACTGCACTGGCATTCACAGGACGATCAGAATGACTATAGCCTCAAACTCCTGGGCTCAAGCCATCTTCATGCCTCAACCTCCTGAGTAGCTGGGATTACAGGCATGCGCCACCATGCCTTTTTTAGAATCTGAATTCCATCTTTCTATCCTACTTAACTGTGAAACTATGCGCAAGTTACCTAACCTCTCTGTCCTCAGCCACATTACTTCTGAATGAGATAATAAAGGATACATCTCAAAGGTTTTAAGAAGGAAGTAATACACACAAAGAACTTAGAACCATATCTGGCACGTAATTAGAACTCAGTAACTGCAAACTATTATTTTGTTCTCAAGCAGGGCCAAGTTTATTTCCTCCAAGGTATTTGGCAATATCTGAAGACATTTTGATCTTCATAACTAAGAGGATGCTATTGGCGTCTAGTGGGAAGAAGCCAGGGATGCTGTTAAACAACCCACAATACACGGGCAGCGATGTCCCAAACAGAGAATGATCTGGACCAGCCCAAAATGTCAATATTGCTGTGGTTGGCCGGGTGAAGTGGCTTGAGCCTGTAATTCCAGCACTTTGGGAGGCTTGCTTGGGGCCAGAAGTTCAAGACAAGCCTGGGCAACATAGCAAGACTCTGTATCTATCTTAAAATAAAAGAAAAAATAGTCTGGGCACAGTAACTCAGTAATTTCAGCACTCTGGGAGGCTGAGGTGAGAGGATAGTTTGAGCTCAGGAGTTCAAGACTATCCCAGGCAACATGGCAAGATCTTGTCTCTACAATAAGTAAAAAAATCAGCCAGGTGTAGTAGCATGTGCCTGTCATTCCAGCTACTCAGGAGACTGAGGTGGAAAGATCACCTGAGTCTAACATTCGAAGCTGTGGTGGCTGAGATCATGCCACTGCATTCCAGTCTGGGAGACACAGTGAGACTACGACTCAAAAAAAAAAAAAAATAGAGCTCTGGTTGAGAAACTCTAATCTAAATCATGGGTACACTTCACATGTACAATAAATAAATATTCAACCCATGGTGAACTATCTGGAAAATAGAAGCAGGTAAGCCAATATGCATACTTTATACATTAACAAGGCTGATTTTAATATTATTATTATTTGAGTTGGAGTCTCACTCTCTCGCCCAGGCTGAAGTGCAGTGGCACGCTCATGACCAACACAGCCTCGACCTGCTGGGTTCAGGCAATCCTTCTGCCTGAACTTTCCAAGTAGCTGAACTACAGGCACATGCCACCACGCCTGGCTAACTTACTTATTTATTGTAGAGACGTGGTCTCACCAAGTTGCCCAGGCTGTCTTGAACCCCTGCACTCAGGCAATCCTCCTGCCTCAGCCTCCCAAATTGCTGGAATTACAGGTATGAGCCACCGGGCCTGGCCCTATTATTTTTTTTCTGAGTAGGAGCACTTAGTCACCTAGGCTGGTCTTGAATCCCTGGACTCAAGCAATCCTCTCACCTACACCTCCCAAAGTGCTGGGGTTACAGATGTGAGCCACTATGTCCAGCTTGATTTTATTATTGTTTATTACTATTATTATTATTATTATTTTAGGATATGGGGCTTTACTATATTGCCCAGGCAGGTCTCAAACTCCTGGGCTCAGACAGTACTCCTGCCTCAGTCTTCCAAAGTGCTGAAATTACATACAGGAGCCTCACACCCAGCTACCTTTATTATTATTATTACTTTTTTTTTTTTTTTGAGATGGAGTCTCACTCTGTTGCCCAGGCTCGAGTGCAGTGGTATGCTCACATGTGCACCGCAGCCTCAACCTGCTGGCTCAGGCGATCCTTCCGCCTCAGCCTTCCAAGTAGCTGGAACTACAGATGCATACCACCATGCCTGGCCAATTTTTTTGGTTATTTATTATAGAAATCAGGTCTCACCAAGTTGCCCAGTCTGGTCTCAAACTCCTGGGCTCAGGTAATCCTCTCACCTTGGTCTCCCAAAGTGCTGGGATTACAGGCTGAGTCACAATAAATTGTCTTTACAATAAATCAAAAATTAACTGAGAGTGGCAGTGCGCGCCTGTAGTTCCAGTTACTTGGGGAAAACTGAGGTGGAAGGATCGCCGGAGCCCAGGAGCCCAGTAGGTCGATGCTGGGGTGGCTGTGAGTGTTCGTGCCACTGCACTCCAGCCTGGGCAAAGGAGTGAGACTCCAACTCAAAAAAAAACAAAAAACAAAAGAAAAACTCAGAAATGATTTTCTATGTTTTCAATAAGTGAGGAATATTTTGTGGACATGGGAGACAGGTTCTTCATGTTAGAGAAGGGAAAGAAGAGTAGTAGAATGAACCCTAGGGTTTTAGTTAAAAACTGAAGATATCAGTATGAGCTCATAGTTTGTTGTTATTTGAGTCAGAGTTTTTCACTCTATCGCCTAGGCTGGTCTCGAATTCCTAGGCTCAAGCGATCCTCCTGCCTCAGCCCCTCAAAGTGCTGGGATAACAGGCGTGAGCCAATGTGCCCGGCCATGAATTTGTAGTTTTTAATGTATATAGAAACAGATGTGGCCGGGTTCAATGGCTCAGCCTGTAATCCCAGCACTTTGGGAGGCCGAGGTGAGTGCATTGCCTGAGCCCGCCGGTTCGAGACCAGCACGGGCAACTTGGCGAGACCTCATCGCTACAATAAATCAAAATTAGCTGGATGTTGTAGTGCCCATCTGTAGTTCTGGCTACTTGGAAGGCTGAGGTGGAAGGATCACTGGAGCCCAGCAGGAAGAGGCTGTGGTGGTCGTGAGCATGCCATTGCACTTCAGCCTGGGCGATGGTGTGAGATTCCAACTCAAAAAAAAAAAAAAGAAAGAAAGAAAGAAAGAAACGGATGTGTGTGCGCGTATACTCCAGGTAGTAATACT